AAGGTATTTGTGGCTTCGTGATTAGCATTTGGATAAAATTCATTCCTCGTGACATCTAGTCCTACTTTGGGAATATCGAATCTGTCCGACTCAGTTGTTGCTAGGTTGGGTACATCCGGTCTGGGTTCAGGGCTAGGATGGTTATGGAGCAATGGTGCAGGTGGTTGTACCTGTGCTGCTGGAGAATGAGGGGTTGGTGGGTGCTCAGGGACAAATTGGTTCTTGTGGGCGTTGGACTCAGGAACGCGAGCTTAAACAAACACTATAGAATTGTATTATATTTTGACGCTGTAACTTACTAAAATGAGATTTTTTCATGAAAAGTCGGTTTATTAAGCTCAAAATCGTTCTCTGGTACTGGGAAAAGATCCTACGATTGCGCTGATTATAAAATTGAAGGCGAAACGTACAAAACGACTTCAAAATCAAACTTGAAAGTGAAGTGCTCCTTCGTAGATGACATGTAGCTTCGTCTAAAATGAAAATGTTGGCATTTAGAGCTACACTGACGAAATATAGGATCCAGGCCAGCATCGCATGATTAAGGGGCTGTTTATGTGAGCCTCGTTTGCAGGGCTGACCGCCCTGTTTGAAAGGTCTTATATAGACTATTGATGAAAATTATTGAGTGGAAATTTGTATACATTTATTCACGACCCTACTATACAAGACCCTTCAACTATTATTCAATCGAGTGAAAAGCCAACAAAATCTCGGATATTTACTCATAACCTAAACATGGCAGTACTCTCTTCTCTATATACATTAAGGGAAGGAAAAAAGAATTTTCTTCCTGGGAGCAAAACCTGGAGACAAAAATTTCCTGCAAACCAACCGAGTAATTTTGTGCTAAATCTGCATGTGCATAAACATATAGTGCTCTAGCTGACCTCGGTTTTAAATTCAAGGAATAATGTCTGTCAATGCTCGCCTATTTTTTCCGCCCCTGTTTAATTATATCGGTTCGAGTTCTGCACCTGAATTGCAGGGCAGCAGGTTTCATTCCTGCCCGGGACCTGCTGTTGCATTTTTCGCAACTGTGCCCGGTTAGGTATCATAAATGCATATAAATTTCCACTCGATAATTTCCATCTATACAAGACCCTTCAACTATTATTCAATTGCGTATAACCTGTCTTCTATAAGCTGTTTCTTGTTGATCAAGTAGTTTTTAAATCAAACATTTTATTGTACACAGTAGCATGAATTTCCTTTTTTCATGACTTTGACAAATAGACTAGATATTATTTTCAAAACATGAACACTATGTGTGCTGTAACTTTATTAAATGCAAGTTAATGACAAAAAAATCAAGCATGCATTAATTAATTAAAGTTGGACCAACCACAAATCGAATTTTTGGTTTGTGTGATATAAAAACCTCATCTTGATCAACTTTTTCATTGTCAAAGTTTCTGACGTCATTAGATGAATATTGATACAAAAACAAAGGAAAACTAATTTACAATTCACATAATGACATCATATCCGGAAACTTGAAAAAGTCGATAAAGAAGGGTTTTTTATTATAGAATAACATTTCTTCTAATGACACACAAATATTACACATACCAAGAATCATATTTGTGGTTAGCCATGTTTTAAAATTATATTTCTTATTTTTCATCTTCCAAATATTCATATCCTTTGAAGTCATTATCTTTTCCATTAAAAGCTGCAGATAGTTTGGTAAACAGAAGAACACAATGGTATTATTTCTTCGTTTTTACAACCATGAGCTAATATGGTGAATCACATGTATTATGCCACTGATGTAAAGACCTAAAAGTATACAGATAATTACACCTTCAGACTTTAATAATGTATTACTTGCCTCCATGAGGCAAACCAGTGATCTGTTATAGCTTACTTAAGACACAGATTAAGAATATATATGAGAATATTCTTACAGTTACAGTAATCTGTGCAGCTCAAGCTTTGGCTTGAAATTTATAGCAAGGTGCATTATTATTAAAACCTGTTGCAGTATTGCATTCCTATAATAAACAGGAACTTTGCTAGTAATTACCTAGCATGGCTCTAACTGAATATGTCCAAAGTATATAAAAATATTAAGTTAGGACCTCAAAAATTACAGCTTCTCCTTTGAATCAGCTTATACTGTACCACATGTTTGTCCAACACAGGTTTTCAAATGATCAGATCAAAAGCAATTGTCCAATTGAGGCAAACAGAATCAAATCTTGCAAATTTTGTGAATGGTCAAATCAAACCGGTTATCCCTTGCCTTAATTTATAGTTTTTTTTTCAATAGTTAAGCTATTAAATCTAAAATACACACATATTAAAAATCATAATTTTTCGTTTGTTTACATGCAGTCGCAGAATATTAATTTGCCAAATGTGACTATCACACGATATTTACAATTAATAGAAAATATTCGATCCACTTACCAAAAACTAACACGATTATGCCTGCAGTTCCATCTATAGGCTAAATAATTTCTGTACATCCCTGTTATTAATTATTATTAGCTTTCAAACGTATTCTTCAGTAATGCCAACTCTTTCATGCTCGGAAATGCTTGACGACATTTAGGAAGCCTCACTTTCAAATTTGATTTTGACGTCGTTTTGTACGTTTCACCACGATGTTATATTTAGCGCAACCGTATATGAACTTTTGTCAGTACTGGAGGACGATATTGAGCTAAATACACAGACTTTTTTTGCAAAAATGATCATTTTAGTAAGTTGTAGCGGCAAATTGTGATATAATCTATACATATATATATATACATATATATTTACATATATATATATATATATATATATATATATATATATATATATATATATATATATATATATATATATGTTAGTTGTGTAATTGTACATTCTGTAATATGTTAAGATGAAGATTATATATTATATTATATATATATATATATATATATATATATATATATATATATATATATATATATATATATATATATATATATATATATATATATAAATATATATACAGGATGTTTAAAAAAGTGCACAGATTTGAAATTTGCTCTTAAATTCGCAAAACAGCTATTAGTATCCAGGTTTATATGTATGTAGCTTCTTTGGGTACTTATAATGTAGAAAAATGGAAAAACTTTCTCGAACTCAAATTTTGTGAACCAGGGGGTGTGTCTTTTCAACAAAATAAAAATGCCTTGCGCACGAAATTTAAAAGCTTTAATCATATTTTGAGTTAACAGATGGGAAGTTCGTTGGGTGTTTAATTACTGTACAAAATTTCAGACAATTTGCATCAGTTTACGCCCTTTAACCATTCACGCAAACTTACATTTTTTCTTAAAAAATCACCATTTGCATGCTAATCAATGCCTTTGCCTAATTTGCATATGTCAGCAATATGCAAATTAGGTAAAGGCATTAATTAAGCATGCGAAAGGCTAATTTTTTAGAGAAAAATGAATAGTTAAAGGCTTAAACTAAAGCAAATTGTCTGAAATTTTGTACAGTAATTAAAAACCCAACAAATGTTCCATCTATCAACTCAAAATATGATTAAAGCTTTTAAATTTCGTGCGCAAGCCATTTTTAGTTTGTTGGAAAAGACACCCCCCCCCCTGGTTTACAAAATTTGAGTTCGAGAAATTTTTTCCATTTTTCTACATTATGAGTACCCAAAGAAGCTATATACATCAAAAACTGGATACTAATAGCTGTTTTGCGAATTTAAGAGCAATTTCAAATCTGTGCAGTTTTTTTTTATACACCCTGTATAGAAACAGATGCCAAGGATGCGCTGAAAACACTGAGAAAATATCAACCAAATGGTCCAATGGTCAACACAGGATTCTATGTTGGATGGATCGATAATTGGGGTTTGCCATTTCAGAGAAAAAATTCAACAGCAATTTCTCAGGCGTTGGATAAATTGCTCTCAATGAATGCTTCAGTGAATATCTATATGTTTGAAGGAGGCAGTAATTTTGGATTTAACAATGGTAAAAATTATGAGATATAGCTTAACTAAGACGCAGGTTAATTTTTTGTTACTCTAAATACAATATGGGGCCATTTTTGGGCCATGCAGAAAGTTTAATAACGAAACTAAATAAAATGGTTATTGTAGTAACGTAGATAGGACTTGCCTTTTGCTTTTGACGAAAATCGTTTGGCTTTCTAAAATTGCTTTTCAAAAGCTGAAGAAAGCTCTGTGGAGGAGAGGTTCACGCCTTTCTTCCTTGGCAAGAGCTTATATGAAATTATGTTTAATGATGTTCTAAAATTCTTCATTTTAGGAGCAACCTGGGCGCTACTTTACCTACCAGTTTTAACAAGTTACGACTACGATGCGCCTCTCTCTGAAGCTGGTGACCCAACAGAGAAATATTTCGCAATTCGAAATGTTATTTTCAAGTATTTACCTCAACCCCCAGGCCCAGTACCTCCAGCATTGCCCAAGTATGAATATGGAAAAGTTTATTTAAAGAAGGTGATTATATCTAAATCGTATGAGTTCACGACAGCCAGGTCAAGTCGCTTCTATTATACTCGAGGGATGACTGGCCGCCCAAAAAGGCGAATGATAGTGTCATTCCTATATTAAAAGTATGATGATATTCCAAGTCCCCTAAATTCTCAATCTGCTAGAAAACGGTTGAAGGTGAGAAAATATGTCAGTGAATCCCTGCTTTTGTTGTG